AAGACAGCAAAAACAACAAGAGCAAAATGGAGGAGCAGCAGCTGGAAGAGCAAGCCTCTTTCCCTCCCATACATTATATGCAAACTCCCCGCCCCAGGGCAAGTGTAGCACTCACATCCATAATTCCAACATGGACCATGAATCTATCATAACTCTAGAAGCCTGCCCCATGACTGCATGAGACTTTGGGGGGACGTTCAGACACAAACCATAACATTGTGTTAATACAGAACAAAAACAAATCTCTGTCAGAGAATCGGGTACAAAGAGAGCCTTATTCCATTAGTTTGGGAAAGCAGTCTATTTTGTGACTTCTGTAGGAAAGGCTCAATTTTTAAATTATTTCAAACTTTTTTTTTTGACACAGGGTCACACTGTGTAGACCAGGCTAACTTTGAACTTGCTGTGTAGCGCAGGCTAGACTTGCACTCATGATCTTTCTTCCTCAGCCTCCTTAGTGCTGGACTCATGGGCATGCACCGCTACTTCTGGTTTGGAAAGTCTTAAGTTTTAGCTACCTGTAGGTTGACAAGTTAGTAAGTTTTTGACTGCATATGGAACTTTTTGTAACATTTACTCTTTAACATGAGGCTAGATTAGGTTTCTGACACTTTAGCTGCCACTGCTGTTGCTTTTAGAAAGTTTGCATTGCTGATCCAATGGTAGGCCACGTCAGTACTGGTCTTTATCTCTATAGTCAGGTCACTGGGAATTTGATCTTGTGGGGGGTAGAGTATCAAAATGAGTAGGCGCACAAGAAGACATGCACAAGAGTGGGCAGTCTTTATCTCCTTGTGGTGTAACTTCACAGCGGTGACAGTGGCCCTGAGGTACAGCACATCTTTGTTTGGACCTCTTGCTGTTGAGTTATAAGATGTACAAAGAAGTCCTCTGATCACTGTCCCTGTAGTTTTTGGAGCTGTGAAGACACGAGCATTTGGATTCTCTCCTTTCGACATTTGGTCTTTTTCTGGTTCTAAGGGTCTCTGAAATTGTTCAGCTGTGGTGAACATATCAGTGTCTTTTCATCCAATCTTTACTTATCATTATTATTATTACTATTATTATTATTATTTTGCAGTACTGGGTTTGGACCCAGGCCCTTTGCACTGAGTTACACTCCCAGCCCTTTTTATTTTATTTTTTAACATTTTGAGACAGGGTCTTGCTAAGTTGCCAGGCTGGGCTTGAGTATGTGATCCTCGTGCCTCATTTAACTTTTTTTTCTTTTAAATCAGGTCACCACCCTCTGATCCCAGAGCCCATTAATAACTAAGCCCTCCAGGGCTGTTTCAGTTCCAGTAAGAAATAAGGGCTCCCTGCTGTGTTTAAACCGAGCGTGTTTAACAAGTGAGATTTCTAATCTAGCCCTGTAATGAGAAACTGAGTCATCTTCTTTCTGTTTACATGGTGCAATAATAGACCATTCAGTCTTTTGTGGGAAGACAAAGGCGGATCTTCGGAGAGGTTCTCAGCTGCTTTTCTGGCATCTTTAGGGCCCTCCCTTGAGGCTGTCGGTACTTTCCTCAGGCTTGTCCCGTCTGTCCTGCTGGTGTCATCCATTTCTGTGCTTGTAGGGTCCTGATATCTTAGGTATAAACTGATACACCACTGGAAGTCCAGGGCTACAGGTTCCTGTGAGGATTCTAAATTTCCTAGTGGGTTTTCATTGGTTGCAGTAACAAAAATCACCTGTTTGGGTTTACCTTCTTACAATACCCCTGGTCACATGATCATGTATCAGCTAGCTGTTTGCGATTGGCCGAAAGTAACCTGTGTTTCTGTCCGACATAAGCAGAAATAATTACAAGACTCAAATTTTGCTTATCCTTTCAGTTTAAGCAAGATTAAAGCTATATTTAACTTTGTTGCAAAATCTAAGGCCTTATCCATTTTGTTTGCTCAGGGATTTTTCGCACCCTATCTCCATTTTAATTTGGCTTTACTGCTTCCTCTTGGGAAAACACCATTTCACCTGTTAGTCTCTTTCAGATTATAAGGAATAGAGAATCCTGGAGTTATTTTAGGTGATGTGAATTTATTGATCGATTATAGTACTGGGGATTAAGCTTGGGGCCTTCACACTGAACTATATGCCCAGCCCTTTTAGATATCTTTTTGAGACAGGGTCCTCCTGAGTCACTAAGTTGCCCAGGCTAGATTCAGACTTGCAACCCTACTGCCTCAGCCTCTAGAGTGTTGTGATTGCAGGTTGTTGTGCCACCAAACCTGGTGTGAATTCATTGTAAAAACATGTGGTGATAAAGAAAATTATTCTGTTAAAGGTGGTAAGGCAGACCTTATTCATTATTCGTGGGGGCCATGCAGCTAGAGCCATTCTTGTCATAGGGCCTTGCTGTGGAGGGGAGGGATTGGGCACAACTCTCACTCCTCCAGAAAGGGGAGTTTATACTGAGGGGTAGGGTTGGAGTCAGCGGATAGAAAATGACTAAGAGAAAACATGGAGGGTTGAGGGCTAAACTGCCTTGCGTAGGCTATTGCTGAAGGCAAACCACAGTGATATTGAAGGTGCTACATAGCAAGGGCGGGGGCTCTTCACTAAGTGGACGTCACAAGCTTCTTACTCAGAAAGGCTTCTGCAGTGACACAGAAGCCAAAGGTCAGGCATAATCACGCAGAGGACTCCGAGGAACTTGATTCAAGTTTTTGTGAAAGGAGAGAGACTGTTACGGGAAGTCAGATCCTAGGACCGCATCTCATGATTTGCTCAGTCTCATTCTGCAGATAATGAGAACATTGTTCAGGGTAAAACAGACCGCAGTGCTCATGATTGAGTTTTCTCTTATCTCTTTTTTTATGAATTCTGCTTCTACCGCCAGGCCCTCTCTTTTTTCTCTTCTCTCTTAGTCCTTGTGCTTTTGCGGGGCTTTTACGTGTCCCTTTTCCTCTGCTTTTTCTGAGTTTGCTGTTTTAAATACAGACTACTCTCTGGTGCACTCACATTTAGAAGTTGCTGAGAATTGGATCTAACCGGAAGTGGAGAAGGGAGGAAACATTCCTGAAAGGAGTAGGCAGATGAAGTGTTTCACCTGGATGCAAACTGTAGTGATTTTCTCACATTTGCATTTGGCACGCTTTCACTTCTGTATCTGTGGTTATTCCTGACCTCACGTATCAGCAAGATGCCAGCAGTCATTCTTACTGAGGTCATCGCTATCCTGAAAAATCTTAGGGCTGTGACGAATAGTTCCTCAGACTCCTTTGCTTGGGGATAAACTTCTAACAGAAATGGAATGCTCCCTGCTGGTTGGACCTTCCTGTGGCAAGAATAAAGCTGTTTTCTTAGAAAAAAAAAAAAAAATCCTAACCAGCGATCAAGCATAATGCCTTTTTTTTTTTCCTTAGAAAAGATCATAGTTAGTGAGTCACACTCTACAATATGAAGACAGATTTCTTAAAAGATGCATGGCCATTGAGCTACTCAGCTAGTGAACCAGTCCACAGAATAAGGGTACTGGGCCCAGTCCTCTTAGACGGATAAACATTTTGCAACTTTTCCCAGTTTTTACAAGGGTGGATGTCTTAGTTACTTTCCTCATTGCTGAGACAAAATACCCAACACCCGAAGTTAAAGGAGAAAAGGTTTATGTGACTCATCGTTTGTAGAGGTTTCGGTCCATAATTGGCTGGTTCCAGGGTGACATGGCAGAGGGGCATCGCAGAAGAGAAACAGTTCACGGCAGGCAGAAGACAGCAAAAGCAACAAGCAGCAAGCAACAAGCCCCTTTCTGTTCCTTGTATTGTATCTGGGTTACGTGTGCTTAGGGTGGACCACCCTCACACACTTAAGCCTAGCACAGTTAATCCTAGCACTGTATTGTAAATCAATCCCAACCTCACACAGTCTAGATCTGTCCACCTCTGAAAAGCCCCATGACTACATGAGGCTTTGAAGGGATATCTAGACACAAGCCGTAACAGGTGATAAAAATATAGAAGGACATTCTTTAATTAGAATGCATTGAGGACACAATGATTTGTTTATTATTTGTTAGAGTTTCTTAAGATACGGCTTCATTATACAGCCCAGACTAGCCTTGAGTTTGCAACCTGTCTCAGCGTCTTTTTTTTTTTTTTTTTTTTTGGTTTTTTTACTAGTACTGGGAATCGAACTCACGATCTTGCGCTTGCCAGGCAGGCGCTGTGCCGCTGAGCTAAATCCCCAGCCCCCCAAAAACATATAATGAGTGTTGGAATAAAAACTTTTATTACACTATAAAATACATTGGCAGTCATCCCCTTGAAAATACTCCTTCTTTTGGGCCAGAGATATAGCTCAGTGGCACAAGCGCCTGCCTGGCAAGTGCAAGGTCCTGAGTTTGATTCCCCATACCAAAAAAAAAAAGAAAAAGAAAATACTCCCTCTTACTTTGAACACACTCATCCCATTGTTCTTGCCGCTTTCTGAAGCAGTTCTGGAAGTCCTCTTTTGTGGGTGTCGTTACGAGATGTGACCAAAACAGCGCTGCTGCTGCTGTGTGTCATCCAGCAGAAAGCCAAGCTCTTAGAAACGTTAGGGCGTGTCCTCGTCCGCCTCATTCACTGGCTATGGCACCGTGCGACTTCCGCCTCTTTGCCAGAGTGAAAATCACCATGAAAGGTAAATGTTTTAAGTGAATTTGGGACATGGAGACTGCCACCACAGGGCAACTGAAGACACAAAAGTGGAGCACATCGTGGAAAAGTCCTCGAAGTCAGGTATCGCGCACATGTGGGAACAAGTTGACAGTTAGCATTAGTATGGTTGCAGAACCTTGGAATTGTTCTGATTTTGGTGGTTGTCTGTCTATCTGTCTCTTTCTTTTCTTTCTCCCTTCCTCCCTTTTTTCCTCCTTGAGACACGGTCTTGCTGTGTAGTCCAGGCTGGCCGTGAACTCTCAGGGAGCCTCACCACACCTGGCATTGTTTTCCTTCTTGCTTTACAATTTGCTCTACAAAATTCATGCTGACCCATCTCTATTTTTTGTACATGTGATTAGATTACAGGCGGAATTAAGACTCTGCAAAGCACGATAATAGAGCAAGATCAGCGCCTGGCTAAAGCCATGGTTGGTGATGGCTCCTTCCACGTTACCTTGCTAGTGATGCAGCTGTTAAATGCAGATGAAGTGAACATGTGAGTAATGCAACTTCCTTGAATGTCATTTTTCAAATTATTACTCCAGTGTGTTAAACACAGTAGAACTCAAAGTCATTGAAATATGAAAGAAATATTCTTACTTCAATTAATAATACAGAGGATTAGTGTACCTAACTATTTTTCTGACAGACTTTTTCACTCTGTTACTATCAAGTGGCAGCCCTTGGTTACGTGGCTGGTTTGTCCTTATGCGTTACGTAAGCACTCTGGAGTTTGATTCTGCAGTGTCAGCTGGGATTCGAGGCAAAGCTTCTGGGACAGTGGCTTCACCACCTTTCCTTAGTTGCTTGGTTTGGATAATTCACTGGCTGTCTTAGTCGATGGAGAAAATCATACTACCAGCCCATGTCGAGCTCTTAGTGTAGGCCCTGCTAGGTGATGGGTACTTGATAATGTAGCCGTCAGAGCTGCCATTTTACTGGGGGGGTGGACAGCTTCCATTTCGCCTCATGTATTCGTACAGTCCCTGTGTGCCACCCTTGGGTGCGAAGGGTGAAATGGCAGTTGCCCATCGCCGCTTTCCATCCTGGGGTGACAAACCTCGCTCTTCCCCCAGTTCTCTGGGGCACTACCAGTCCCCCTCCTCCATTACGTCTGTACAGCCTGCTGATGAAACCCAAGCTTCAGCTCTTTGGAAAGCCAAGGCCAGAATGACTGCAGGGGACTTCTGTTTTATTTCTTGACATATATGTCCTTCTTAGGAATAAAGAACAAGGACTGGATTAGGTGAGGGTGAAGAAAAGGAAAAATAAAAGAGAGAAGACAAAATAAATTGATAACTCAGAATATCCAGCTACATGGGATTGTCATAGCTATGTCTGTAGAGATTGGACTTCTGTTCTGCCTGAAGCTGTCCTCCCAGCAGCAATTTGGACACCCTTCCAGGGGAGAGAGGAGCAGAGACTTTGATTCATTCAGGTAGATAGCACTTGTGCAGAGAATCACTTTGACTGGTCACCTTGCCAACCAGAAGGAAAAACAGATGTTCCCAAGAGAAGAGAAACCATGGGAGATGTGACCCAGAAAGTGAATGGCCGAGCGGGAAGGAGGAGCCCCTGGGTGTGTGAGAATCATGTTTGTGGGGTTCTCTAGGCAGCGCCAGTAGGGGGCTGTCTCACTCTCCAGTGGGCGTGTCTCTCTTGTGTACTGAGAATTATCGAAGGGATTGGCTGAGTGTTGCAGTCTCAAGTCCAAAGGCAGTCTTGAGGTAGAATTCCTTCTTTCTCCAGGGACCTCAGTCTTTTCTCTTAAGACTTTCAACTGATGAGAAGAGGTCCGCCCCATGCCAGAGGGGCTGAGGTGTCAGCTCTTAAGTGGCGCTGAGATTCAAAGTGTGGCCTTAGTGTGAACACCTAAGTGGAGTAAAGTCAATTGTTTGCAGGGAAGACATTGTTTATATGGAGGATTTTTAAAAGTCTCTAATCTTTGATGCTATCTGTGTGATATGGACGTTATCGCGATTGTTTTGCATTTTTTCTTCCTTTTGAAAGCATAGTATGATATGTTAGTATTTAATAAAGTATTGGCTAATGGATTGGATATGGAATATGCAGAGACTATTTTTTTAAAATCAGGAACTCATTCAGGTGAATATTACCCAAGGACATTTATGTTTCCACAGTATAGATAAAGGAAGGAGAAATACGTACCAGGTGTGGTATGTCCCAGCACTCAGGAGGCTGGGGCAGCAGGATTATTATAAGGGAAAGATCTGCTTGAACTATATAGTGAGTTCAAGGCTGGCCTAAACTAAGTAGCAAGACCCTCTTTCAAACCTTCCCCCAATAAAACAAACAACCCGCCCCAAATAGAAATGCAGGAGGCCAAATCCAGCAGGTGATTTGATAATATAGCTGTCCTATCTTAATTTGAAATATAAGCTTTGGTTCTGAGCTCCAGCTTTAGAATTCTGTTTATATATGAATATACTTTTTAAAAAATTTTACTGTAAAGAAGTCTTCCTATAGACCAGTCTTGTAATTCTGTTTTTGTTTGTTTGTTTGTTTGTTTGTTTGTTCGTTTTGACACAGGGTTTTGCTATGTAGTACAGGCTGGCCTTGAACTCACTAAGTAGTCCTGGCTGACCTTGAACTCATGGCGATCCTTCTGCCTCAGCCTCTTGGTGCTAGGACTACAGGTGTGCACCACCATGCCCAGCTTGTATTTCTTTAAAGAAAAACAACATATGGCATTTACTCTTTCTGAAAAGTCTTGGCCTCTCTTGCACCTGCTTGGGCATAGTTTTCCTTTGAAATGAACGTCTTAAATTCCCCAGTTTACAACAGAAGAGCCTGGAGCAGTTGTCCTGTTATCTCATGTTTTAACTAACATGGGAGACAACACTGAGTTAGAAGGGTGTCTACTCTGTCCTTTTAAATGACCAAAAGTACATTAGGTGAGGTCGGATTTAGTATGAGGATGTATAGGGATGATGTGTTTACATTATTAACAAATGTTACCAAATGTGCAAGGCTGATATGAAATACCATGCTGTCTTACGTCATAGCAGGGAGGCGAGACAGAATAAGAAAGTCAGGAAATCAGTTATTACAGCAAGACTAATTTAGAGATGTAAAAGACATAGGAAGGTACTGTTTTTGTTTCACACATTCTGCTGTGAACAAATCATTGATCAGGATAATTGAAATTAATGATGGCCGTGTTCGCTTCAGCAGCTAAATTAATGAGGGTTGATTAAAAGGGTGTTTGAAAGCCCCTTCCATACTGCATGTGTGCCTATTTCTTTTGTAAGTAACTGCTGCCCTCTAGTGAGAGTTTACTATTTTTCACATAATAAACTACTTAAACCAAAATTCTCAAGGTGAAAATAATTGATCCTCCTTTTCAAAATATTCAAAATCTTTTAGTGTCTAATCAATAATACGGTAAAGGGGGTTGGGGGTTTAGTTCAGCAGCACAGTGCCTGCCTGGCAAGTGCAAGGTCATGAGTTCGATTCCTGGTACCAGAAGAAAAAACAAAACAAAACAAAAAAAATAAGAAAAAAAATATGGTAAACATTTATTTTAATAAAAATCATAAAGACTTGAAAACACAGGGTACACCTAATTAAACATAGGCTAAATAACTATACCAAGCATGTACCTTCAGTTGGGAAATATAATTAAGCTTATATTTTATTGAATCCAAGTACAGTGTATTATCTTATTGTAGAGAAAAACCATATTTTAAGAGGTAATGTGGATTGAGTTTTCATAGCATGCCTTGCAAATAGTAAGTACTGTGTATTAGTAGTTTTATAAAAAATTTAGAGCTTTCCACATAGACAAATATAAACTTTCATAGGTACTGTTTTTAGGGAAATATATCAGTAACTTTTTGAATTGTGTATACCGTATTTACTTTGTAGAAATTTATTCATGAACTATTCCATTGTACTTACTTTTATATTTTTAATTAGAATTACCTATAACTTTAATTATAACTACATAAAGATTTAATTCATTTCTGTGGTTTTTTGTTTTTTTGTTTTTTTGTTTCTTTGTTTCTTTGAGACAGGGTCTTGCTATACAGTTCAGGCTGGCCTTAAGCTCACTTTGTAGCCCAGGCTATCCTCGAGCTTGCAATGATCCTCCTGCCTCAGCCTTCTCAGTGCTGGGATTACAGGTGTGTGCCATCACGCCCAGCTCATTTCTGTGGTTTTTATTTAAAAACCAATATTAGCTTTAATCATATGGGTTACCTCTAGAAGGTATTTTTGCCTCTCAAAGGGGTTAGTTTTTTCCTTATTTGGTTCTGCATGTGCTCTGGCTTGATATGTTAATGAACACGCTGTTGTTTCCTGCCAGCGGTGTGGATGCACTTTTGCAGTTGAAGCCGTCGGTAGAAGATGTCCTCCAGGGCCGGCAGCTGACGTTACCCTTCCAAGGGACTGACACCTTCGGAAATCAGGTTGGCTTCGTGAAGCTGGCGGATGGAGACCACATCCCCCCACTTTTAGAGATTGCAGGTAAAACGGACAGCACCCTCACTCGATATCTTATTGGCTGAAGAAGTGATGTTTTCATTTTTGTCATAGAGGCTTGATGTCTTTTAATTTTTGAAGCCAGTATGTATAACATCTTTTTTTTTTTTTTTTTTTTTTTTTTGAGATACGGTCTTGCTGTGTAGTTCAGACTGGCCTTGAGCTCCCTACATAGCCCAGGCTGGCTTTGAACTTGCAGCAGTCCTCCTGCCTCAGCCTCCTGAGTGACGAGAGGTGTGTGCCACTGTGCCCGCCAACCTGTAACTTCACTTTATGAGTTAGTTGCTTTGGTGTTTGCTTGTGTGAATAAGGATTAAACAGAGTGCCTGAAAAGTTACCTTGACTTTTGGACCAGAGGAGTGCGTCAGTTCTGGGGCTTTCTGAAAGGTGATGGACTGGACTCAAGTATTAGTCATAAGTCTGAAGGATCCGAGTACTCATCATGACATTTGACATGAGGCTGAAACTTAGTAAGTATTGAATGAGTAGCAGTCAGCAGTTGCCTGTGCAGAGGCTGTGGGAGTTGTCATCCGCCCCAGAGAGCCGGTCCCTGAGCCAGCTACATTTGCCTTTGTTCTACTCCCCTCCTCCCTTTTCAGCTGTTACTCTGAGCGGAAAACCTATTTGGGATGGTGTTAGACTCCACGCAGTAGAGACCATTTGTTGGTACTGGAGTTGAAAGTTTCAAGGAATTGCATGTAAAATAACCCACAACGTGTGAGTGACTTTCAAGTTTGATTGAGAGATTACAGGTTGGGTGTCGCCTCCTGTCAGCTCATGTCAGGTTCGGTAATCCTCGGCTTACCCTACACTCTCATCCTTGGGCCATGCATGGCCCACTTTTAGCTTCCTTTTTCCGTCTTCTTTCTCTTTTATCCTCTTTTCAGACCCTTCTCCCTGTGTTTATGCACATGTTTAAGAATACTGTAATAACCTAGGAATTTCCCAAGGGAGACGACAGCTAGAATTTGGGTAGGGTAGTGGCGCTCACTGATGATTGGTTCCAGTCGTTCTGATGAGTATGGAAAACTGAGTACCAAACTGGGAAGTTCTGCACAGTGTGTTGATACTCTCCAAGCCATGAGTACGAGGGCAGAATTTTTGCATCAAAATACATTGAGTACAAAATTCTACAAGTTTCAGAGTCAAGGACCAAGATGTGATGCTAATATAAACTATATTGTCTTCTTCATAATATCTTGGCCTTCTTCTGTTTAAATTAACCAACGTTGTGAAGTTGGGGTTTATTATTTCCTTATATTCTCCCGAAACATATATTATGTCTTTGTAATCTTCACTTCCCGTAAAGAACATCGTGTTGTCTGTGACCTTTTGTAACGTACTTTCCCACTTACTGTATTGCCTGTGTGCAGATTAGAAATGGCTTATTCAAAAGCACAAGTGGAGCTGAAGGCAGGTTGTAGTGAGGATCTGATTTCATTGTTGGTAAGTTTTTCTTTTGTGCTATTAGGATTTTGTGATGAATATTTTGTGAACATCAGTGTTTTCATAGGGTTTGATCATCATTCAGACTAGTTGTGAGCTAGAATGACATCTTATGTGCTGTTGATTGTATTGCCTTCATTCATTATTCATTTGGGCTTATCACACATGGAGCTGTTTGGTTATCTTTCCAGTAAAAGATTTCTGTTGAGCATATTTTACATAAGAACATTTCATTTGGCTCGTGAATCTAAAATTTAGTATTGATGCTACTAGTAAAACAATTACATGCATCTTAGTTAAGGTTTTTATAAATTTATCTCCTCTATATTCATTTCTTGTACCTAATGTTGGGCCCAAGGCATTATACTTTAGTATGAATAATTCATTCTGTCGGTGTGCAGTTAGTTAACATTCATTAGGTGTTTGGGATTAAAAAAAAAAAAAAACTTAAAAAAAAAAAGTTCCTTGTCCTCTAAGGAGCTTATAGTCTTGTTTGGAAACAGTGACCAATTATAATGCAGCATGATCAGTTCTGTACCTAGAGGAAGGTGCAGAATACTGGTAGGAGAAGGAGTCTGCATTGCACAAGAATAAGTAATTGGGCAGGTTGTAGGAGGGTATTCTAGGCAGAGGGAATCAACTGTATGTGGAAAGAAATCGAGGTATATTTAGGGACCCACAATTAGTTTTACTATAATATAAATTGCAAGTCTAGGCATATTGTGGTTTGTGTCTAGATGTCCCTCCAAAGCCTCATGTAGTCATGGGGCAGGCTTCTAGAGTTTATGATCAATTCATGGTCCCATGCTGGGATTGTGGGTAGGAGTGCCAAACCCACCCTGGGGCGAGTAGCCTGCATACAGTATAAGGGAGGGAAAGAGGCTGCTTGCTGCTCCTCCATTTTTGCTCCTGTTGCTTTTGCTGTTTTCCACCACCATGAATTGTTGCCCTCTGCCATGTACCACTCTGCCTTAGAGCCAGCTGCATGTAGACTGAAACCTCCACAAACTGTGAGCTAAATAAACCTTTCCTGGCTTAATTCTGGGCATCGGGTATTTTGTTCCAGCAGTGAGAAAAAAGTAACCAAGACAAGGGGTGTCAGTAAAATTAGATGCAACATACTAAACTGAAATAGGGCTTGAGGAAAGTGGTGAAGACTAGAATAGTGAGCAAGAAAGAAAGACACAGAGAAAGTCTTTGAAAAAATTTAATATCCTGTCATGAGAAAAGCTCTGAAGAAACTAGGTATTCAGGGATCACTCATCAATCTACTGGTAGCCATATACAGTAAACCCACAGCCAAAGTTATTCTGAATGGGCACAAATTGAAAGCATTTCATCTAAAATCAGGAATGAAGCTAGGATTTCTGCTCTCATCATTCCTATTCAATATAGCTCTTGAAATTTTAGCTACAGCAATTAGGCAAGAGAAAGTAATAAAAGAAAGAAAGAAGTCTACATGCTTCGTCTGAATTTTTATCACTCTCTTCTGCTTCAAAAATTTGTAAGTTTTGTCTTTTAGTTATGTCCCAGAGTTCTTGAATGTTTTGTTCATGGTTTTTGTTTATTTTTCTCAGTGTCTGCATGTGGTAGTTCTCAACCTTATTTTTAAGCCCTGGAATTCTATCTTCTGCTATGTCCTGTATTGGTGAGGCTTTCTGTTAAGTTGTTTTATTTGACCTCTGCTTTTTATTTCCAACATTTCTGTTTGGTTCTTCTTTCGAATCTCTTTTTGTTGAGTTCCTCCTTCCTGTCTTGCATTGTCTTCCTTAAATCACCTAGTTGTTTATTTGTATCATCTTTGAAATCATTAATTATTTTACAAATGCGTCTTTTGAATTATTTGTCTTGCAGTTCACCCACTTGGATGTCTTTAGATTCAGTTACTGATGAATTATGAAAATTTGGAAGAGTTGTGTTGCCTGTTTTTTCATAGTTCTTATGTTTCTGTGTTTAGATTTCTGCCTCTCTTGGGACGGGTATCTCTTTCACTTTTATTTTAGGGTCACGTCAGTGTCCAGCCTTCCTTTGAGGGCTTAGTTCCCCACACCACTCAAAGAGGAGAAAATAAGACTGAGTAATGTTGACAACCCAAAGACAAACCAGGTACTGGCATTCAGTAAAAAACAACTAAAAGCAAAACCAATACTATCCTTAACAATACAAAAGAGGGACTTCTATCTAGAATATATAAAGAATTAAAAAAAATCAGGCCCCCAAAATTCAAAGACCCAATCCAAAAATGGGCATCTGAGATAAATACACACTTCTCAGATGAAGAAATACTAACGACAAATAAATATATGACAAAATGTTCAACATCACTGGTCATTTGAGAAATGCAAATTAAAACAACACTGAGATTCCATCTCACCCCAGAAAGAATGGTTATTATTAAGAAATCAACCAATAACAAATGCTGGAGAGGCTGTGGGGAGAAAGGAACCCTTCTCCACTGCTGGTGGGAGTGTAGATTGGTGAAACCACTGTGGAAATCAATTTGGAGATTCCTCGCAAAACTAGGAGTAGAAGTCCCACTTAACCCAGCTGTTCCCCTTCTGGGTATTTTCCCAGAAGAATTAAAAACATCATACCACAGCAATATATGTGCATCCATGTTTATGACAGTGCAATTTGTCATAGCTAAATCTTGGAAACACCCCAAATGCCCATCCACTGAGGAATGGATAAAAAAGATGTGATGTTTTTATACAGTGGAGTATTACTCAGCTATAAAAAAGGTAAACTCGAGGCTTTTATAGGTAAATGGGTGCAACTAGATACCATCCTCATAAGTGAACTAAAGTGGACCCAGATGTGTAAACATCATATTGTCTCCCTAGTGTAAGAACTTGAAAGAGTAAATAAAATCAAAACATACCATAAATATGAAAGGGAAAGAAATTGCTCAAAGGAACAACTGGGGTGAGGGAAAGAAGAAAAAGAAAGAAGGAAGGCAAAATATATATGTAAATGTATATAGAAGGATAGGTGGGATACTGTACTGCTGATGTGTGGTGGTTTATTGAAAGGAACAGTTAATGCTTAATTTTTTTTTATTTTGACCAGTTTTGCAGGCTTATATCTGGTAATCTGAGCAACTGATTTGAAGACAACAGTATATAATATAATAACCACTGGTGAATTTTTACCATCTTGTTTAGTATCATCTGTATCATCTCTAATTTTTTTTTAAAATTATTTTTAAAATTTTCTTTCATGGTTTGATCAGTCTTGCATTCTTACCTCGGGTAATCTGAGCAACTTTGCTGAAGATAACAATATGTAATATAACAACCACTGTTAATTCCTATCATTTTGTTTTGAAACCCTGTATCATTTTTAATGTTTTTGCTTTGTTTTGTTTTTGTCTGTGATGTGGGTATTTTGCTATTGTTCTTTTTTTCTATTCTCTTTAAAATAAAAAAAATACAAAAGAGATCAGCAATAATAATTTAGACTAAAAGCAAACCAGGTATCGACACACAGTAGCAATTTACTAAAGGCAACAACTATACTACCATTAACAATAGAAAAGA